TAAGCGCAGGCAGAACAATGATAATGTTATGCTAGCTAACATTTTGTTTCATTATAGATGTCCGTAACAAAGGCCCTAGGGCTGCTAGACTGGGAAATTCCCAGTGAGTAAGCTGGGTTTAGGAGCCTTAAAGGGCAGAATGGACTACTATCACTTTGGAGGCTAAATGGAGCTAACCGGCTATGCTAAACCAAGCTAACCAGCTTTGTTAAAAAGACTTAATTTGCTAAGCTAAATGGAGCAACCGACTATTCTAAGCAGAGCTAACCAGCTAAGCTAGCAAATCCTTAGCTAACCAGTTATGGATTGGTCGATATGTGAACATGTGTGAAACATCATGAGCCACAGCACTGTCCAAATTGGACCAAATCACCGCATGTTGTTCTGGCCCCTCCCTCTTTACCCAGCATGCATCAGAGCAGATTTGTCTCTTCAGACTGGCAGCTGTCCCAGCATGCACCGGGACAGCAGCAGCTCCAGTGGAGCGCTCACAGAGCTCAGGGGGGTAACAGTGGCGTTGGATGTAGGAGTTTGCCCTGAAATCGAAGGGTTGACGGTTCAAGCCCCGACTCCGACATTCAGTGTCGTTGTGTGTGAGTGTGTGCGTGAATGGGTGAATTAATGTAGTGTAAAGCGCTTTGGTCAAGTCTCCTAACTTGAATAAAGGCGCTATATAAGTACATGCCATTTACCATTTACCATCAGTGTTAAGTTAGAAGTGCTGTATATTTTCAGATCATGTAAGGCAAGAACATTGTATTTTAGTTGTCGCTATATGACCCATTTACTGATTTAGTGCATAATAAAAAAATAAAAATTTGATTTTAAGAGGACCATGGCAACTAGTTGAGCTCCGAGGCTAACTGTATACACAGGCTAACGTTAGCCCGTCTGCAGCGGCCAATGATGACGTTAGCTCTGTCTGCAGCGGACAGGGATAACATTAGCTCTGTCAGCAGCGGCCATTTGATTTTTCTTTATTTGGTAAAATGTTGATTTGATTTGTGTTTATCTGACTGTGTTAATTATTATTCACCCACTAAATGAAAACCATGGCTGAATGTTCTGATGGAGCTAAAAGTTGATGGCCACACTGGGAGACCCTACCAAGACAGTTGGTTGGATTATTTGTGATGAATTATTGGGGCATTTAGTGGTGAAATGTTCATCTGCTGCAGTAAACCTGCCGTTAGCATCCAGAGCAGCGATCCAGCGCTGGTTAATCAGGATCAGTAGTGACACAGCTGCCCGTCTCTCATATCTTTACTACGGAGCATTTCTAAACAAACAAACACTTCAGGTTTCAGATGGACGTCATGGAAACGAGGGGAAGATTCAAACCAGCATAGAGATCAGCCTCCATGGGGGGCTGCTTCACTCTGAGGGGACCATCCAGCACTGTGTTGGTGTGATGTAGTGAAGCTTTCACTCATGTCTGACTGGGTGTGATGACATATCAGTGGGGGTGGGGGCCTCTAAGGACAGCCTTCCACCCTGCTGCCATGTGACGGCTCCATCAGGCCAGAGGGTCTGATGTCCAGCCTGCCTCCATCTGCTGCTTGTCTCTGAGGTTCTGTTGTCAGCAGACGTTGTTGAAGTGTGGATCTGTCAGAATCTGGCCTCAGTCGGAGCGTTCAGCTGTGCTGCTCTCTGAGCGCCTTCACAATCACCTCATTACAAGCTTTATATGAAGCTTATTAAAGCCGTTGTTTACAGCGCATGGGGGGGGCTGAAATGAGGAAGATGAGTCTTCCTCAGAGTCGCTATCTTCCTCCTATTGGCTGAAGCATCTAGAAATGAAACCTGATCCTCAGAGTGAAACATCAAACAGCCAGCAGCTGCTGGGCTGTCAGGTCAGCCACCGGTCAGGAGATGGACCTCAGCCTCCTGCGTGGGGGTCTCTGGCTGCGGCCCTGCCTGCCGCGGTGCGGGAGCTCCACCTGCACGCCGCTCCCTCATCTGCCCGCCGTCGCCACATAGCATATGTCTGCTGACAGACCGAGGGCAGCGTCTCGCCCAGTGGCAGTGGAAGAGGAGGAAGATGGAGGAGGTCAGGGTGTCTGCTCTGGATGACAGGGAGAGGCGGTGAAATGCTGTTGGGGGGGCTGGAGTTGGGGTATCAGGGGCATCTGTCTTGTTTCTGGCATGTGGAATGGGTCAGTAACCGTGTAGGCAGGCTGAGGGGCTGGCGCAGGCTGCTTAAAGCAGATGGTTGGAGGGGTCACAGCGGGGTGACTCCTCTGATATTCATGCCACATGTACGTGACACTCTGACAGCCAACGCAGATCTATAGGTGTTCTTCTCCCACAGGCTCTGGACATGACTCAAACAGAGATGTTTTCCCTGCTGGAGACGTCCTTCAAAACACCACCAGTCTGTTTCCAGAGCTCCTGTTCAGAAACCTTTAAGCGTTTAAGCAGGGTCAAATATTAGCGGCGGCTGGGAGCGTCTCTGCTGCCAGGTGAAGCGTTTATAAAGAGGTGGAGGAGATGAATCCTCCGTTTGATTGGTTCCTACCTGGATCAGCTGATCAGAAACATCATGAAGAAACTGCCGACACCCTGATCATCATATAAAAACAGACATCCAGCCGTTCACTCAGAGAGAGAGAGAGCAGGACTTATAATGGATAACAGGAAGGTCTGGTTCATCTGACGTGTTCCTCTGTTTTTCCATGTCCTGTGCTTCTGGTTCAGACTCCATCATGCTGGGAATCGTTGGGGCGTTAATATCATTAAAGGTTTTGTTTTTTTATCCACTCTGTAGTTACGGTCCATCGTTTGCTGATGTTTGATTCTTCTTCTGCTTTAGTTTTGCTCCTTCACCAGATGGACATGAAAACTAGGAGTTCAGTCAGACTAAACAGCTGCTTCCCAAACAGAAGCCGTGCTTCAAAGTAGGAGACTTGGTGCTTCCAGTATTCAATGTCTCGCAGAGGGAGATGGATGGATCTCTGCTAGCTCCATGCCACCATGCAGGAAACATCTAAGCTACGCTGAACCTTAAAGATCTCATGGAACTGTGGCTGCAGGTTAAACTCCTACATTTAGTTAAACTCCTGCATTTAGTTAAACTCCCGCATTTAGCTGCAGCCTTTGGCCCAGAATGCTTCCTGCTTCTTTCCCATTAGATCAGGTGAGACATTCCTTCCTGATGCACCTTTTTAAAACAATAAAACCTTTTCCCTTCATGCTGCAACCATCTAGTAGGGACTCTTTTCTTCTAGCTCAACATGCATTTGGCGTTGTTTGGCATATGCTGTTAGTTAGTGTTTTTTTTTTTACCCATTTGCGAACTGTATCTGATCATTTCATGACAGTCTGAACATGGGGGCGCTTTTTCAAATGCGACCCAGTCCACTTGGCTCTATGGTCCTGATTCTCATACATATATGATCTGAACAGCCAGGTCACAATCGTCCAACCTGTACGTCTTTAAGACCCCAGAAAGGTCACTATTCAGCGTCTTGCTACGCAAAAGCAGCCAGAAAGACGACCATGGCGAACGATGATGCGGAGAGCAGTATTTATGTTTAACCATCTTGAAATGATCGAGGTTTTAAGGTTGGGAAAGGAAGCTAGATGCTCTCCAGCGCTACCATCCATGTTTACTTCCCTATAAACATGGAGCACGCTGGCCTGTGATGTCATTGCGTGCTCTACTGCGCATGTGGGACATGTATGAATGCAGTTCACACAGGAGATCACATACAAGTCGCAATAAAATCAGATTTCACAAAAAAATGGTAATTGAGCATCACAGCCTGCAGTGGGAACGTAGCCTTAGGCGCTAACCAAGGGACAGAGCTAGCCGTGCATTGAGGCCCTCCAACGTTCTCATGATCTGCGGCTGGTTATGAATCAGCTCCATGTTCTGTCGGCCGTCTCATTTGTTGTGTTGTGCGTTGATAATTGGTCAGTCCTGGTTTATTTCCAGCTCTGCGGTCACAGATAGAAAGTGAAGTTAACCTAAGGGAGAGAAGCGGGACTGAAGCTGAAAACAGCTGGGAAAGGCAGCCATGCAGCGACCTTGAAAAGTGGGTCTGCATAAAGCATTACCAAAGCCCTGGGAGACACTATCCAATACATAAAGGACACCGTCTGCTCATCTTCTCCCCTCCTCGTTCTCCTTCCTTCCTCTTCATCCCTTTCTCCAGACCACTCTGTTTTTATGGCCCTCCCGAGGTTATCCTCTTCCTCTTCTACACGTCTGCTGTCTGTTTCTTCATTCACTCTTTTGTTCACATTTTCTTCTCTATTTTTCGTCGCATGTTTTCCAAGTTGAAAAGCTGCGGGGCCATCAGAGGTCGCTGAGCAGGTTTGAGATCACGGAGCTGTAAACCACTCAGGAAGTGGTTTCTGTTTATTTATGCAGGTTATCTTCCTGAGAAATGTCTCAGAATCTGATTTAAAGAGATGATTTTGTAGACCTGCTGCAGCCTGTTAGTAACTGGGCTTCATTTTATCCTCCTCCTCCTCCTGGAACCAACATCTGGACTAAAGAAAGGATAGCTTCACTTCCATTAAAGTGTGTCTGAGAAACGAAGGCCCTCCTGATGGGTGTTAGAACCTGAGCAGACTCTCTGCACCGTCTCTGCTTTGCTGGCAGCTCACTGGATGCGTCCAGGACCGGGCTCGCTCCTTCCTGCAGAAGCAGATTTTAGCTCCGGTGGCATCTCCTTTGTAAACACCGGCTCTGAAGAACTGCATTCCTTTCTCAGGCCAATCCTGGCACCCTCCTTGACGGACGCTTTCACCCACTTAGACAAACTTTAATTAACTTGTATGTGCAAGTCTGAGTCTCCCAGCTTAACCTTTGACCCGCTGTCTTACCTGAGCGCTGCCTCTTGGAGTGCCCCGCACTCACAGACAAAAGCAGCATAAAGACCAGATTAGCTGCTTTCCATTGTCCTCTCTGCTCATCTGATTGGAGAAGTCTTCAGACGTCCAACCGGCCACAAGCTTGAGCTTTCAGACTGGAGGCCAAGGGCCAGCTGGTAGTGAGCTGAGAGATTTTGGACCTAACCTTGTAAAACCCTACAGGGTGAAAAGAAGAGGACTTATCCAGCGTAAATCCGTAGGTTGGAGCAGAGAGAGAGCTCAGTCTGGCTCCACATTGGCTGCCTGAAAGAGGTTTGGACACTTTTCTAATTGCTTGGACCTGACGCCAACCGTACACCCTTCTCTCCCTCACAAAACCATATCCGCTGCATCAGCTGCGTGTGAGGTTTCCTATGTGTCTTTGGCCCTGTGTGTGTGTGTGTGTGTGTGTGTGTCGGGGTGTGTGTTTGTGGTCAGGGAAACTATAGAGAAGAGTCATAAACCCTAGAAAGAAAGTCTCTTTGTGAACTGTGCGTGTTTCCAAACTACTCCTGACCTCACTTCAGATCCGCTCAGCTGACCACACTTTTCAGTCTGTGTGTGTCTGTGTGTACGGGGGGGGGTGTTGATCAGAGAGGCTTTAGGGGAAGCAGCTTTACAACTGACTCTGACAAGTCGTTTGGCACGCCGATCCTTCCAGTCTCGCCATCGTCCTTGAAACCAGATCGACCTGACAGGAAGTGTCTGCCTCTGTGTGCGAGTTCATTCTGTGTCAGAGTTTTCTCGTCTCCTGGATCTCTTCCCACTTCATAAACCCGTATTTTACTCTCTGCTCTCTGTTGCTCCAGCTCAGCCGTCCTGTTTTTATTTTCCACACACAGAACCTTGAACCATGCAGCCCAGGTTCGCAGTGTCACCAGCATAGTGCCCTTTATTTCCACCTGTATTTGCACCGTTGTGTGGAACACCAGCCTCATAAACTGAGGTCAGGTTTTTCCGAGCACTTACGCACAATCCCCACAATTAGCCACAAAGGCTGCAGAGCACTTTGATCAAGCAAGGCGCAATGTGGAACTCCTCACAGACGTGCATTTCTAGCTTCGCTATCTGCCCTCCCAGTCGCACTTTAGCAAACTGATACCAGGGACTGGATCTGCTCACGCATTAGCTGCTTTCCTTCTCCTTTTTATGGAGGGATAAAATATGAGCCTCTAAATGTCTGGCAGTTGGATGTTGGTGATTACAGAATGTAAAGCAGTTGTTTATGGGTCGAGTTACTGTTGAGAAGCAGCGGTGGCCCACACTGAACTTGAAGGAGGACAGGTGGAAAAGATGAAAGGTCCCAGGATGAAGGAGAAGATGCGATCAGGACGGAGGAGAACAGGGCGTCTCAGAGACGAAGCAGTAAAAGAGAGGATGTTTAAAACAGGAAGGGTTCTGCCGTAAACATCGCCTTCACTTCTGGGCCTGTGATCCTGAACCATTTACAGGGAACCTGACAGGAAAACAGATAAAGGATTCGATCTAAGACCGTTTCCTCTGGAATAAGGATGCTTTTCACTCATCAGTGTTCTGCACTGTTTCAGGAACCAGCAGCGGGTTCCAGGTTGGAACCGAATGATGATGCATGAATCCAGAATCTCTGGTCAACTCTGCATCGCCTCAAATCTCCCTCTTTTATTTCTAGTTAGATGTTTTTCTGACATTTCAAGATCTATACCAGATAATTTAAAAGGTTTTCTTGTGCAAAAACACATCCAAACATGATAGCATAACAAAGCTGAAGTGCTAACCAGATATACAGCAGCAGCCATTCATAATGGCTTCCTTCTCAGCCGAATGGCAGCTACTTCCCTCCACCTCCCAGCCCCTCCTCCTCCTTTCTCTGACTCCACCCTCTCACTGAACTACAGGCTCCGACCAGGAGATGGCGCTTCTCTTTAGATCTAAATGTCCACAAATTATGACAGAAAGAATACCATAGAGTAAAAGGGGAAAGTTTTAATGGTTACTAACGTACCAGTATGGCGTAGAGATATTGCGCCATGCTAGAAACCAAGCTGGGCTGATCCTGAACGGACAACCTGTTGCTTTATACCAAGATTTCACCCCATCTGTTGCCGGGGCTCAGGTTGCCTTCCCTGAAGCACCAAAGCTTCTTCATGATCAACCAAAGGTCCAGTTCAGCATAATGTTTCCTGCATGCTTTGGCATTACCTATAATGGAACAGAACACGACTGTCTGGATCCTGCTGATGCCTTGGACTTGATAAAAACGCATTTCATGAAAACCTGTAGAGAGAGACGCACCGCGCTACGTTAGAGTGGGAGAACGCGGTAGAGGTTCGTTGTTATGCCTGGTCCAATAAATGGGGGGGATTTGTTGAGTGATGTGAAAACCCATAAAAACTTTAATAAACAGACCTTGATATGCAAAAAAAGAAAATAATTTAAAGATTGTTTCTAAGCCTCTGTAAAGATGCTAAGCCAGGTCTCTGGATTGTAAAGCTGCATCTCTCCTGATGATGATCCAGGAGCTGAAGCTTGACATTCAGCCGCTGAGCCAGAGCTGGGTAAACCGGTTTCCCTTCATGTTCAGTGTAGACAGGAAGTCCTCTGGTTCCTTCTGGCTTCCCTGTTTAGATGTGCTGTACAGAAAGCGCTGCTCTCAGTTCCTGACAGGAAGGTTCTGGACGGCTCCAGGTGTGAGCGGCGCTCTCTGCAGTCGATCTGACTGACAGGGGAGCAGATTTAACTGATGATGGAATGTCTGAAAGGTTGAAGACTTCCTCTGCCAGAGGAAATGGAGAATCATCCAGTATGTCTGCCTAGCAGAACCTCATCTAAACGCGTGAAGCACCTCTAAAATGTTCTGAGCAGCAGATACACTTGTTCAGGGGAAAGTTCACCGCCCACTTGTTGCAGCAAAGCAGCTGAGCTAACACCCCCCCCCCAGCCTTACCAGGGAATATGATGACTTAGTGATGACCCCACAGCATCTCTCTCTCCTTTCACACTCCTCTTGTCTTTTTCTCAGCCCTCCTCCTTGGCCGTTCACATAACCCTGCCAGACTCCAGAGGGGGAAGGAAAGGGGGATGAGAAAAGAGGAGAAGGGAGTATCTAGATGAGCAGGGAGGGATGAGAAATGACCAGGAACCATTCCGATAGGGCAATCTCTGGATGTGTGAGCGAGCAGCAATAGCTCAGGGTAAACACCAACTAGCATGGGAACAGTTTCAGCAAAGTGCCGCCACCCCCATGGTTAGATCGCTCCAGATCGCCCGCCGTCTGTTTAAACAAGCCGAGACGTTAGTTTAGTTTGTACCAGTGGAAGGTATCTGTGTCTAAATAACCGCAGGAGAGGCTGAACCTTTGGTGGCCTTCAAACTACAAGCTTTCAAATGTTGTTCAGAGGAAATCTGGCCTGTTTCCTTCACCTGGCAGTACTTCCATTCTGGCGTCCATGTCTGACATCAGAGCGACGCTCATTTCAACAGGCCTCTGTTTATTTCATTAACGGGACTAATCCTTTAGTGAAATAATCAATTTAGTGTTTGATTAATCATTAACTGGAGTATAGAGACTCTAAAACACGCCTTTAGCTCACAGAGGAACCCACTGAGAGCAGGAATTATACCAAGATTGGAAAAAAATTATATAAATATTTTGCATTGAAGATAAAAACACATTTGGATCTGTCAGTATGCTCTATCCTGAAAAAGTTTTAGTTACACCTGGTTTCATTTAGTAAAAAATCATCTTTGAGGAATCTTTGGCTTTTAATGAATTCATTATTAAATCAGATAATCGATTAATAAAAAAAATAATCAACAGATAAATGGCAAAATAATGTTTAGTAGTTCTATTACCATTTACTGTCAGATTGTGAAGCACTGAACAACGTTTCAGATCAAATGTTTGACACGTATGGAAACTTATTTCTTACTAGCCTGTAAAGGAGGAGCGTCCTTCAGCAGCGGACGGATCAGTCAGAGTCCTGCACTGGGTTCCCGTATGAAACACATCTATGGGTAGAAAATAAACATCTTATTTCACAGGTGCAGGACCAGGTATAAATGAACAAAATTTATATTTTCTTATTTCTTAGCTCTATATCCTATAAACTAAAATAAACTGACTCCAGGATCCAGATAGAAGTAATTTTTTTAAGCGACCGGCAAACCTTCTGGATGTGAGGCAACCATCTTTACTGGCTCTGTTTTTATAAACGGCTCTATGTTCACTTAGTGATCACGGCTCGGGTCACATTATTTACGGTTCTATGCTGTACCAGCCGGGCTTTAAATGGGGATAATCGGGTCTTGGTTCTGAACTCTACGGATGCAGTTTGGAAAACCCGACCTGTGCAGGACTCTGCTGCCAGCAGCAGGAGAGGAAGTGGGGCTGAAACTCTGCACCCCTCTCCTCTGGAGGTCCTGAACGCCCACGAGGCGCCGCCCACCCATCTGGGCACATCCTATTGACTGTCTTTGCTTGTTTGTATTTTCGGTATTTGTTTGTGGATCTTTGAGGCTCGACATTTGAACGTTGTTTGGTTCGATGCAATCAGACTGACAGGGATGCGTCTTATTAATAATCCAGGGGTTCACCGTTGATCCATGCAGGAGGTAAACCTGCAACCAGGTGTGATGCTGAGCCTCCCGGTTTCACCGTGGGTTCATTACTTATACACCATAAAGCTTTTCCTGGGAAGCCGCTTGGCTGTGATGCAGGCTGCATTCAGTCTCTTTAGGTGATGATTTGGGATTTATTGGTGTTTTAACTTAAAAAGCCTGATGGGATCCAATAAGCCAGAATTCTCCTGGCATTGATGCTCATGATGCTCGTTTATAAAACCGAGATCGCAGTCGTGATCCTGACTTAAAGTGTCATAAATGACTTTAGCTTTGCACTCCTTTGCTTGGGTCAGCCATGGCTTGAACTGCTTCATGTTGCACTAAATGCTCAGATTAACCTCAGATGTGCCTGTAAACTCTGAATGCATGTATTTTCTTGTTTGGAGGTCTGACTCCAGCTCAGTCCCACGCATCGCTCTCTGTACTTTCCCTAATATCTGCCCTTTAGATGATGTGATTAATGTACGATACATCAGCTGCAGAGAGGGTGACAGACAGAGACGGGTGAGAGTACCACAGCCCTGGGAAAGGACAGATAAGGGAAGCTAGTAGCCGAACTCTGGGTCATTTGGCAGGGAGAGAGTCCAGGCTAGCTGGGCATAGCCATGAGAAAAAGTGGGAATCCCCCAGAGGACAGCAGCACTGACCCATCAGGGAGAAACAGAGCAGGAGAG